ATATTCATTATACAGCTTCACGTTGTCCTTTATCTTCCTTATACAGCTTCACGTTGTCCTATATTTTCCTTGTACAGCATTACATTTTGTTCTTTTTTCTTTATACAGCTTCACATTTTGTCCTTTTTTTCCTTATACAGCTTCACGTTTTGTCCTTTTTTCCCTTATACAGCTTCATATTTTGTCTCTTATGAACTGACTGTTCTATATATACAAAAGTAAAATGCAAAAAAAAAGTATTATACAAATGCCAAAAATATTCTCTAAAACTAAACAATTAACTGAAGCTGAACACAAAGCAAATTTCATTAATTTACTAGAAATAAACGCTTATATTATATCATTACTAGGATTTTTCTTTTCAAAAGACATCAATTGAGTGGATTAATGATCAAAGAAATTCGGAATAATTGCTAAAGAATGAGAACTTCTGAGAGTTAATTACATTGAATAATGCATTCAATCAGCAGCGTGACATGTCAAAATGAGGAATGTCAGAGCCCCAAGTCATGCAGTAAATAATCGATCTTCTTTTCCATTCGGTATTTACGAGTACAAAATTTCTGCTGGATAAGAAAGCAATAGTGTAATGTATTTTAAACCTGAGTGGTCATGGCTAATTAGCTTTAAAGTTTAAACACGTTTTTCTACCTCTTTCGTTTTCAATTTTTAACAGGTTGATCACCACTGTTCATCTAATTAAACTTATACCTTTCGTTCAAAAAAATATCCCAAGAGGATAAAAGTCTTAGTTGAATTTCTTTCAGCTAATTCTAAGCCTTTTTTAGAAGGTGGTGCATTCTCGACATTTCATGTAATCGTAGAAGAAGAAATTGTACTTCCTATTTATGATCCATATACGAAATGTATTGAAAAAGTTTCAAGAACACTTCATTATTTCACGCAAACAGATATTGATTGCATAGTTTCAACCAAGAACTTTCTCGAGTATTTTCTCTTTGTTTTTTGTCATTGTAACTGGTTATGTCTTTATATTAACCTCGGTTTTAAAGGTTTGTTTCGTAGTTCTTGGTTTGTAATTTTGTGTTTTATAATTTTGGTCTGTATTGCAAATGGGGAGTAAGAGTAACGCCCTGTTATTGTGTGTTTCATCCAAATTTAATTTTCTTTTCTAGAAAACGAAGACGAGAAACGCAATTCCCATTTTTTATTTACTCTTCATGTTTACCAGTATCGATTTGAGAAAGGAAATCGAAACGGCGGTAAGGAATAACTGATTTTGTCCTGTTCAGATATTAATTTCTCCGATAAAACTTTGATGAAGATAAAACATTGAATATTTTAATGAAATACTGTACAAAACTATAATTTTGATCCTGTTTTAACGTCTTAGTAAATAAAAATTATGATCATTCTACGTGTTAACTCTTGTACTAGACAAGCACAAGCTTATCCGTTTTATCTTATCATAGAAACGAAAATTTTGTAGTCCTTTGAACTTATTTAAAACAAAAAATTAAACTTTTCGTATTAACCGAGGTAGCTAGATGATTTTGATTTCGACAGCATATTATTTTCAATTTTCATAAGAACACTTAGCAATTCTAATTATCTGATATTATTGATTTTACATACTGCTTGAAAATCTATGTTTTACGTGACTGTTACCAGGTGTCTATTAACTTGTTTACAGTTGCTGGAGGTCGGAGTCGTTTAAGTCTCATTGATCTCGGTTCTTGTGAGAAAGTAGCCAAACCACGAGATGGGGATGGAAGTCACAGTCTCTCGATGTCAGCTTTAGGAAACGTCATAATAGCCCTATTCAATGGACAGAAACATGTGCCTTACAAGTATGAGTATTGTGATGGAATCCTTAACATTTAATTTTGTCAATTAGATATATTTTTGGTATTGAAAATTCGAGACTAACTTTTGTATAGCTAGCAAGTTTATAGACTTACAACACTAAGATCCGGCGTTCGATTCCCCGCTGTAGACGCTTAATATAGCCTAATGTTCCTTTGCTCTAAAACAAGCAAATAAACAAGCGAACATTAATGTGGAATATGTGCCTTTAAACGTAAACTATTTGCATCATTCAATTTTTACGGGAATGTCTTTGTTTATAAACTTAGTTTATGTGTGGCGTTCAGTGTTACACATTGCTTCTACATGTAAACATGGATTATTTCACCGAAAGGGGCCGAGGGCCGCTTGAAGGGGTTACCTGTTTTAACCACTCGCACCACTATACAGTAGTGTGTTATCTGTCAGTCAATCAGTAAACACCAAAATGACGTCACATAAGAGACGCTTAACGTTGCAATGTGTACTGTCGTGACGTCAGTAAAACGTGTGCATGAATCACGTGAAGTATTACGCACTTTATAGGCTACAACACAGCATGGCATGTGAACTTGAAAAGCAAAAAATATAAATATTTGTTACTCTTAATTTGATTATATTTACACTTAAAACATAACACTTTCGGGGAAGTACATTTAGTATATAGAGTGTTTACCGTTCCTTGTCTTTGTTTGTTAACATAGATTTCATTTCCACCTATAAGTACATTTATTTGTTATTTTCAATACTCGTTGTTTACAAATGCTTTCATATTGTGTATATCATTTCCACCTATAAGTAGTACATATATTTGTTATTTTCAATACTCGTTGTTTACAAATCCTTTCATATTGTGTTTATCATTTTCACCTGATTTAGAATGAAAACAAAGATTGTTTAGTATTGGTTTCATTGTTTCAATACAAAATAAAAATCACTTAATACTGGAGTGGTTGAAAGATGGATGCTTTTTTTTTTGCAAACAGAGAAAGTAAATTAACCCAGCTTCTTCGGGAGGTTCTAGGCAGTTTAACTTACCGAGCAGTTATGATAGCTCACGTTTCTTCAGATCCTGAGTTCTATTCTGAAACGTTGTCAACGATTCAATTAGCATCCAGGATTCATCGCCTGCGGAGAAAAAAATTGAGAGTAAGCAAATCGTGTGTACAAGTTCAAGATTCCGAAACACTTATCAAATACTTAATGCATTAAAACAAACAAAAGCATATAGTAAATGTTTAATGTAAGCTGTTCTGACCGGAATGTGGCACTGATTTGTAGTGAATGAAGTTGGTGTGCATATTGTTCACATTCAAAACTGAAGTATTATGACCTAGCAAAGAAGTATTGTAAATAATTAGTTAAATATCTATATTTTAATGTTTCAAATAATTAGCTTCAACTTTTTGTTTATATTTTTGTAATATGGTACCCAGACAATGTATTTTTTAAACTATTACCAGTAATAAACTAAATGTTAATAGGTTAACGATTTTGTAAATAAAAATCACGTTTTAAAAAAATCTGTATTAAATATTTGAGATCATTACAAGAAATATAACGCTGTATGTTTGTTATAAAGAAATAAAGGTTCGACTATATCTAACAGAATTATTCTCTCTTAAAAGAATATATATATTTATATATTCTCGTAGTTTCCAGGTGCGAAATCCAGTGAAAGTTCTGGCGATGACCGAGGAGTGTGTCGTCCTTTCCTGAAAGTTCATGCAATCGGTGAAGACGTTAGTAAATCTGGCAGTAGTGATCCTGATTACACTTCCAGCAGTGAGCAGTCCTGCGATACAGTGATTTTTGTTGGAGAACGAGGAGCTGCTATGAGCAATAATCATTTTACTTCTCATTTGTTGGGACGGCCAGCTAAGAAAACCACACAGAGTTATGATGTTGTAGTATCACAAGAAAGTGAAAATAATAAAAAATGTCAACAACCATTTTATTCAAAACATTTAAAAAGTGCCTTGCCTTCTGTGACTCATTCGACCTTTAAAAACGCCCTGATAAATTACGAAGCAGGTGAAAGAAACGTTCGAGGTGTTGAAAGACCCAGATTAAGTGTGAGTAAACCCAACGCCATTGCAGTAGAAACAAAAACTCATCAAACAGGAAATCGATTGAATGGAAGACTGCAGACAGCTAATTCATCATCCATTAATGATCAGATAGTATCTTTATCAGAACATGGTGGATTATCTTATCCAACACCAGACTCTCAGGTTTACAGAAAGTGTACATTCAAACATAAATCACAGTCCATAAAACAAGAAGGAAAACCTGCTAACACATGTTGCTATGGTGCTTATTCCAAAATACATAGTAACCGAGAACTTAACGTACATAGCGATGAACTCTGGATTGATGGACCACGGTTTTCCAAATCAAAATTTGACAATCGGTCGATACAAAGTCTTCATAAAGAGCAGTGGGTTGATGGACCAGGGTTAGAGTTTAATGGACACATGGATGAACACAAAAAACATTTTATTTCTAAATGGGTAGAGGAACACTCACGACATGTTCAACAAAATCTAAAAAATTCAAAGAACGAAGTATGGATAGATTTCCCGCTGACAAAGAGTGCTGATTTCAATGTGGACAATGTGCCTAAGAAAGAAGAGTTCGTTACAGAAAACCAAAATCAACCATACTCTCAGAACAGCCAAAACACCAGTGAAATGGAAACTGTGGAAAACGAGTTTCAGTTAATTCAAACATTTTCAACAGAACAGAATAAAAAAGACCCAAGTTATTTTATGGAAACAGTCAAATCTTCACATATTTGTTCTCATCGATGTAACGAGACTTTTGTTCCTTGTAAAGAGGAAAGTGCTGTGAAAATAAGACAATATCAAAACTTAGCAGACACTGACTATCAGAGTCCAACCTACAAAGTTCAACATTGCATTGAATGTAACGACACGTTTTCTTTTGTTGATACCGCAAAATCTAGTGAAAAGTTAAAAAATAAATACGATATTGAGGTCTCAAACAACAGCGACGAGGAGACACGTGTAGAAGAAGAAGAAGATGGACCTGTGCAAATGCAAGATTCTTGTATCCAAGTAACTGAAGAAGATATTATTGTTGCTATGTTGAAAGACGACTCTACATCTGATAAAACACTATCCCAAACAAGTAAAGCCTGTTGTGGAAATAACAGTCACCATCCTCTCAGAGTTCTCAGCAAAGATAGCTTGACTTTAGATTCGTCATTCACGGACCCACAAAGATCTGGTAAAGATCAAGAATTTTCAACACTCAGCGGTGGACAGGATGATTTTCTTGATGAAAATGGTAAGAAGTATTTAATGGAAGAAACGATTTTAGGGACAAGGTGTTTAAGTTGTAGAAACATGTGTGATGTAAGAGATCAGAAGTTGAAAGAAAAACAAGCCAGTGGCGATGAGCATTTAGAAACTATTTCTCTTCCTGGTAAAATATTTCAATTAACATATAATGACATAACCGCCAAAGATCCTGAAGTTTCAAGCACGCTAAGCGAGCCTGGGGACGTCACATACCTGAGATTGCAATTTGAAAATAAACTCGCAACGCTCTTGTGGAAACCTATTCATAAGCCAAAACCAGTGTTGGTTGTTCCACCAATATTGCGAAAAACAAAACAAAAGTCTGTTTCTCTCAGCGGAATTGAAGATTTAGAAATTCAACAGTTTAAAGACTGTAAGACTCAATATCCACTTCGTGCCTTGTCTCAGGAAGTGAATAAGGAGATTTTAACTTATCAAGACAGTGAAGAAAAGGCGATATATTCTAAACCTGGAGAAACACTAAAACCTTTGTTCAAAGAGCAAGAAATGTCGAATACCCATAATCCAGAAGGAATGAAATATCACTCGTTTAGTGAAATACTTGAAAAATCGAAAATTGCAGAAACAAGATCAGCCACATGTGAATTCACAAAAGATATAACTAAAAACACTATTTCAACTTGGACCAATTCACGCTCGTGTTTGATTAAAAATGAAAAAGATTTACGGATAAAACCATTAGTTTTCCCAAACCTTGGATCTTGCGAAAATTATTTTCATCAAAGTAATCTAAAATTCACAAACCCTCAAGATTTTATTAACTCACGTGCCAATGACTTTAAAGAGAAGAAGTCAGGTTTCCTCTCTTCTTCTGATGACTTACAAAACCCTCCGATTGAATCATTCCAGTTCAGTAATAAAATAAAACTCATTAACAATAGCATGCGCTCTCAGAGGCAAGATAAACGAATCAAATCGCCTTTTCTTTCTTATCTTTCTCGTGAAAGTGGGATACCTTTGTGTCTTCGAGAAGATAATTCAACGCGGAGATTATCAGGGTCTGTGCATTGTGGTTCAACCAACTTTCTTCACAGTTATCCATCTGGCTCACCGTTCATGTCTCCTTATGCTAAGGTCACTCAAGCCCGCTCTATGAAGTCTAGTAGTGGTCGTGGAAGTGACAGCAGTGTTGTTAGTGGTGAGCCCAGGGAAGGGTCAAAGTTACTACCGTGTGGTAAATTGCTTCAGTTCTCTGGGACAAGTAGCGGATACGAAAGTATGATGCGAGACAGTGAAGAAACACCCGTGTCGTCTAGTCAGGAGTCTGGAAACGAATGCGACTCCGTTGAGCAACAAAGGAAACGAGGAGCACGACGTAAACACCTAGATAAAGAATTAGGTAAATTCTTTTTGATTGCGGGTGCGTACTTATAGTTCTCGAAAGGGAAAGAGAAATATTCGCAAGTTATGCTTCTCTTTAGGTTTGCTGCTCGTTCCGTACTCCTACATATTAGATTTACTGTGAGACCAGTTTAGATTTTCTAGTTTAATCTAATAGAAAATACGCCTGTTTCATTCGAATAAACTAAGAACAAAAAAAAATCGTTATGAAGGTTAATAAGGTTTGAGTCCGTTTTATACTATTTTGTAGATTTTCGACTTATGCGCTTAGTATTAGATGTTCACTGCCCCTAGTAGCACCGGCGGTATGTCTGCGGACTTACAGCGCTATAATCCGGGTTTTGATACCCGTGGTGGGCAGAGCACAGATAGCCCATTGTGTAGCTTTGTGCTTAATTACAAATAAATAAACAATCAAATAGTTGTTCACTTACTTTTTTTTATTGAGAACTAAAATATCATGAGTATCAGACAGAGATAGCTTGTTTGTAATGAAAATTTAAAAATCAATATTTTAATAACAATATAAGCCACGTGCAGCTGACATAGACTTTTTGTGTTATATGTTTACTGGCTCGCTAATATCTAGATTAAAGACACTTGAAACAGTAGTAACTAACTGGCTATTATCTGGCATGATCGTTTAGTCATCATTAACTTTTGATAAAGAAATCTACTTTACATGGTCGGAACTAAAAATTAACCTAGCAATGCATATAATTAACTTCACATGCCTTTTTGTTTTTACTTATACATGTAATGATCACAATGTATCGATTCATCAGTTGGATACTCTCGCTGCAAACGATATTTTCATCCGTAATATCAACCACTTTGTTTTTCACACTTCAGTTACAAAAATCTTTTTAAATATTATATATTAAATATTATATATATGTATGAGTATTTTGCTGACTTTCTGTATAATAAAATGATACAGAATGGAAAAAAATATGTTTTAGATTTGTATTTACAGCAAAGTTAATAAGCTATTTGACGCAGTCCATGATTATGAACTAGTGACCACAGGGCAGTCAGCAGCACTAATACCACCTGCTAGCCACGTTAACGGATTGACTGTTTCTCTCTAAGTTCGATAAATATATTGTGGTATCGCACGGATTTAAATCCGGCTCGCCAGCTCCGAAATCCAAAGCTTTACCGGAGGACTAGACCGCTCTTCGTGTTTATTGAAAGGATGCATTAAATCCCGAATGATCATTGTGACAAACGTTACCTATTAGACTGTAGAAAATCCACGTTAACTATTAAATAGTTGTTTTAAGTAAGTCTAGTAGATCTCTGAAACCAAACCTAAAAATATTCGAACACGTTTAGAGAATACTATAAGGCATTTTGACTTCGAGTTAAGGTTAGTTGTTATAGATTTTGTGTGGTTAAGCGTGTTTAATTTTAGCACCCATATTTATCACATAACCACTAAAAGGCTAAAGTTTAACATAAATAATCCCATTATTAAACAAATCCTTGTATGATAAGTTAAAGAGTCTTTTTCAAGAACTAAGGTAGAGCTTCAATCCATTTTTTTTACAAATTCTAAACAGTAATGAAAATGTAATGACTGCTTTTTCTTCCGAAGGTTCTGAACAACAAACTAAGTCTTCCACATTCCAACATCTTACTACCACAGCAAATCTCACGTGCCAAGGCTCACTTCATGGACTAACTAAAGAAACTATGACGTCACGTCATCGCCAGAGTAATGAGTGGCACGATGAGGATGTTTGCTGTACAGGACTTTTGTGTTGTGGTGTTAGTTTCCGAAAGATTACCTCTGATTTATCCTATGTATAAAGTACAATCAGTGCACAACCTTACTTCCTCCGAATTATCTTCGTGCCAAAAAAAAAAAGAAAGAAAAAAACAGCATAAAACAAGTATAGTACAGCATCCATGATTTATAAAACGGGCATATTCTCATAAAAAAATCTCATTTAATATATATGTACCTTTACATTGTTGATAGAGAAAAATAAAACTTGAACGAAGAAATTGTGAAGACAACCACGTTAATTGTAAGTGAACGAAGAAATTGTGAAGACAACTATATTAATAGTAAGTCAGATTATAAATATTTCTGTTGATCTTTCTTTCTTTTCTATTCAATTACTTATTTAGAGTGAAAATAAAAGATTCTACGTGAGATATTAAGATTGCATGTCTTTTCACACACTTTTTGGACATATATATTTCGTTATCAGGTTTTGTTGTAGTAACCATGAAAAGTGCTTTTATTCATTATGTATTTGTTTATTAAAATCAATATTAGTGATTTACAATAATAGTTAGCGGTTCGAAGTACACGATTTCAGCTTTATAAGATAGACTTCATTTGTGACGAAATACTTACTTATGTAAGGTTATGTGAAAAACAAAATCAATAATAGTGGAGAACGAAGGTCACCTTGGTGGCAGAAGCTACAAATAACAGTGGAGAATCAAGGCCACCTTGTGGCAGAAACTACAAATAACAGTGGAGAATGAAGGCCACCTTGGTGGCAGAAACTACAAATAACAGTGAAGAATCAAGGCCACCTTGGTGGCAGAAACTACAAATAACAGTGGAGAATCAAGGCCACCTTGTGGCAGAAACTACAAATAACAGTGGAGAATCAAGGCCACTTAGGTGGCAAAAGCTACAAATAACACTGGGAAATCAAGGCCACATTGGCGACAAAAGCTACAAATAACAGTGGAGAATCAAGGCCACCTTGGTGGCAGAAGCTACAAATAACAGTGGACAATCAAGGCCACATTGGCGGCAGAAGCTACAAATAGCACTGGGAAATCAAGGCCACCTTGGTGGCAGAAGCTACAAATAACAGGGAGAGTCCCAACCAACTTGGTAACAGAAGCGACAATTAGAACCCAAGTAACAATTCAATGAAATACAACTGCTTAAAACTATTTATTCTTTATAAAATACTCCATATGACCGAATCTTTTGTCTAGTACTAATAGGTTCTTCGGAGGGTTTACTACTATTCGTGGTGAGAAGTGAAATATAAGTTGTTATATACAAAACCAGAGCACAATAACGATATTCTGGTTCTCGTTACACTTATCATTCTCTTGAAGATCCTTTGTTAGTGATATACTTGAAGTACAGCTGAGATTATTTGTGTGATTCCTGTAAAGCTCTTCCTAATATACCGATTTGGAATGATAATAATAATTATTCAAATTTGAAACCCAGATAGAGAATAGCAAAAAGTGTAAAACCAAATAGGTACAAAATAGAAACAAAATTATATGTGACTTACAATTTCATCTACACATTTTAAGTATTTTGTACGTCAGTCTGTTTGATCAAAATAATTGTTGATGTCATCTCTGATTTTTTTTTATTATAGATTAACTGGGGAGGTTGAATATGATACATTCTCTCTATAGACAAGAAGGATAGTCAGCTACATCAACAAACATCTCGTTCTATGTATATATATAAAATTCTATGTGTTTAAATGTAAAATATCGAATTCAGTGATTCCAGAAGAAATCTGTTAAATAATTTCTTAGGATTCGTTTCGATATTTATTTTGTTAAAATATTAACATAACCCTACTGTTATTAACGTATAAATGTAAATGTATATATGGGAAGCAAATTATGTGGTTTTACTCCAACATAATAGGAGACTTAGCTGTAAATATATATCAAATTCTATTCTCTTAAAGGAAGGATTTGGAAATGTACCTTACTAGACCTACATGTACTACAGTTATGTTGTTTCTCGTTTCCAAACGTTCGTGAAGCACGAACAGTATGGCTAATAATTCACATCTTTATATAGTTATTTAAAGCAACATTACAGTTATATGACCTTAATAGTACTTATATTTAAGCTTAAGTTAGCTTCATGTTGCAATGACTTTTCAAACATTTTTCTTCAAATAAGTAACCCAGTATCTTTGTTCACTTGGGTCAAATGTACATAGATTATTGGAAGAACAATATTTTGATGAAAATAAAAATGTGAGGATTACTATCATTAACATTTAAGATTATCCAACAAAACAAAGAACGAATGACTGATTTATTCTGTTGAACATAACCAGAAATCTGCTACAATACTTACATTTTGAGAGTATATAATTTTGGTAATATTCATCAGTACTGTTGACTATAGAATAAAGCCAAAACAAAGAACGAAAGACTGATTTATTCTGTTGAACATAACCAGAAATCTGCTACAATACTTACATTCTGAGAGTATATAATTTTGGTAATATTCATCAGTACTGTTGACTATAGAATAAAGCCAAAAGAAAAGGAAATAACCATTCAGTTGTGAATCCATATATTTTTGTTTATTAGGTGAAAACTAATTATATAAAACAATGGCATTTTAATGGGGGTTCAAGCGTAGTTAGAATTTTTGTAAAGAAATAAAAAAGATCCTAGGGGTATTTGATCCAGATAATCTGCTTATCAGGTGAAAACTGAAACAGCAAGAGAATGATTAACAAATCTGTTTTTTCTTCATCTGGCTCTCGAGCTATACCAATGGATTTGTAAAATTTAAAATTGTTTGTTATAAAAACAAATGGTAGTAAAAATGGAAATAAAATGATTTTCAGCTTTATGCGATCATTGGCGTAGTTCCAGAGCCTTGTTGAATTTCATTCTTATTAATCTGTGAAATAAAAACTGAGAATTTCAGGCACTTTAAATGCGCCAGTTTAGTTGACTGAGACATTCACGTGATAAGCAGAGTAATAGTGATTCAATCCCGTTCAATTAATTGATGCTTATTATTCAAACGCGGCGTATTTTAATGTCATGCCTGACAATCACTGGTATTTCTTTATTATTATTATTTAGTTTGTTAATTATGAGTCATCGTTGAACAAGTAACAAGTTTGTGTTCATGATATAATCCATATAGTACTTACTGAGTAGCCAACCTCTATTTTATAGTAAAATAAATAACAGTTGCTTAATTAATACGTTTCTGTTCTTATTTTCCTTACTTGTAATATTTGCTCAAAAGAGAGAGTACACTAATATTATAACGTTCGTGTATAACTACAGGTAAATATTGTTTCAGTTGTATTTATTTTTAGTAAACTTGCATAAACCGGCACGTACAGTTTATTGCTTACAAAAATTACAAAACAGAATTGAAACACGCCTAGATATTTTCAGTGTAATATTTCTTAGCCTTTAGTCTGACTGTGAAAAGAATGATAATCTTCGTCGTTTTAATTAACAATTATATAGCCAGTCTCTAATTATCTTGTTTTCAAAATAACATAGATATAAAGAAATGTTTCGTCAGAATTATTTTGAAATTTAACGAGAATAAATCTTGCTTAAGTTTATTTTTCTATGTAAATGGAAGTGTATAAAATATTTAGTAAATAAAACCGTCATCCTTACTTCGTAGATATTGTAATGAATAAACAATGTATCTAACTGACTCCAGTAGAACATTATGAAGATACGAGTTGTAGCTATTGAAGTGTTATTTTACGTTTACTATGATTCGGGCTGACGTTACATTATTTGCGGAATATTTGCGCAAACTAATATGTTTTCGAGTTTTTTGTTTTTTTATTATAAACATACTACGTTATGATATTTCTGACTTCTTAAAGTGTTCAGTTCTTCATGTTTTTGAAAGTCCGTTAGTGTCCCATTAAAACATGTACAATAAAGGAGGTGGGAGCCTATAATTAGTCTTGAAAGTCCGTTAGTGTCATATATAAATATGTCCAATCAAAAAATGGGGTCCTATAGTTAGGCTTAAAAGTCCGTTAGTGTCACATATAAATATGTATATCCTATAGTTAGGTTTGAGAATACTAGCTGGAGTAAACGAGTAAAAAAATGAAATATCAGTTTAATTTAATAATAATTTTAAGCACACTTTTACAAGCATACAAAGAATTAACTAAGGTTAATATTACAAATTTTTAAATGTATGGAAAATATCGCACAGAATTTGTTATCTTCACACATATAACTAAGGTGTTTAACCTAGTGTATAAATATATGAAAAAATATCACACAGGATTTGCTATCTTCACACATATAACTAAGGTGTTTAACCTAGTGTATAAATATATGAAAAAATATCACACAGGATTTGTTATCTTCACACATATAACTAAGGTGTTTGATCTAGTGTATAAATATGTGGAAAATATAAAAAGTATTACTTATTTTTAAACCTAATCAAGAAGTGAATGAATAAATATTGAACAACATTTTCTGTTTCTAAGCCTAACCTGCAAATTAAAGGAAATGTATGATACTTATAAAGTTAACACTAAATGAAAAAGTAGCAAATGTGATTTGTATTTCCAAACTTATCTTACAAATAAGTGAAAAAGTATCGAAGAGCAATTGTTATTTCAAAATCTAAGATATAAATAAATAGAATATATCGAACAGGATTTGGAATCAAAAACACATATCGAACAGGATTTGGAATCAAAGACACATATCGAACAGGATTTGTAATCAAAGACACATATCGAACAGGATTTGGAATCAAAGACACATATCGAACAGGATTTGTAATCAAAGACACATATCGAACAGGATTTGTAATCAAAGACACATATCGAACAGTTTTGTTAATTATAAATCTATTTGAACCATATTTTCAAACATCTAGCTTCTTCATAATGATTATTGTTGTTCTCTTAGTGCAAAGCTACACAATGGGCTATCTACACCCTATCCACCTCGAGGGAATGAACCCCGGGTTTTAGCATTGTAAATTCATAAACTTACCGCAGACCCACCGAGAGTCTTTCGCAATGATAAGCTTAAATATTGGCAAT